TGAAGAGACTTTCTTGCAAATCTCTTCAACGTGGCTACCCCAAGAGAGTTGGGCATCTATAGTAAGACCCAAAGATTTGGTCTTGTCGACTCTCTTGATAATTTGGTCATCAATTCTGATTTCTAAGTCGTTACATTGGGCAGATAGTCTTTGTCTTGATCCAATAATCATTAACTCTGTTTTAGCAACATTTAGACTGAGCTTGTTAGCTTTCAGCCAACGGCTAAGGTTATTCAATTCAGGGGTTAGAGCTAGCTCAAGCTCTGTTAATGTCTTAGCAGATATCGTAAGATTGGTGTCATCGGCAAACATTCTTGGTGCGGCGCCCCGCAGGGAGTTGGGAAGATCATTAATGTATATTAAAAATAGCAAAGGACCCAATATGCTACCTTGCGGCACGCCGCAACTGAGGGTACGGGCAGATGATAGTTTGCCACCGACACTACATCTCTGAGTTCGGCCACTCAAGTACGACGAGAACCACTTAATAGCTGCCAGATCGACACCCAAGTATGACATCTTGCGCAAGATTATTTCATGATCAATGGTGTCGAATGCCTTAGTAAGGTCAATAAAGACAACGCCGTTTAAGAGACCATTGTCGATATTTACCGACCAAGAATTTGTTGCCTCAAGCAAAGCCGTAAGCGTACTATGTAGAGAACGGAACCCTGATTGGCAACCCAATAGCAATTTGTTATCATCTAGATAACGAAAAAGTTGATTGTAAACAATTCTTTCAAAAACTTTGGAAATTATAGGGATTACAGATATTGGTCTATAGTTGTTAGGATCCGATTTAATACCCTTTTTGAATAGAGGAGTCACTTTGGCCGTTTTCCAATCATTTGGATATATCCCCATGAGGATAGACTTAGAGAAGATTGAGGTGAGATAGGGTGCGATGATAATTGGGTGCGATGATAACAATTTACTCGGAATCATATCAAGACCAGTGGCTTTCTTTTCGTCAATTTTGGACAAAATGTTAGACACAATATCAACGCTCGGAATTTGTAAAGAAAACGAATGAGTAGAGTGTTCTAAATAAGACTCAGGATCAATATCAACGACAGGAATATCTTGTGCTAAAACTTGCGCAACGTTTGTAAAGTGATCGTTAATAGTTTCTGAAATGTCTATAGGATTACTTACTATTTTATTATTTACCTTAATCCCCAGAATATTCGTCGACTTACTACTATTACGTGAAGTTAGCTCGTTGATCACATGCCACGTTTTGCGCAAATTACCTTTATTGGCTTCCAGGTGTTCGGAAACGTAGAGTTTCTTCGCAAGTTTAATTGCGAAAGGTAAAAGGACTTTGATTCGGGGTTAGAGAGATTAGACACTAGAGAGGCTAGCTTTAAGGAGTCACCTTTGATTTGGAAATTAAAAATTTCGAGGCTACCTTTGATAAAAGGCTAGTGGCAGGTCATTCGACTTACTGTCTCAGTACGAGAGCCCGAAACAAAAGGCCAAATTAGCGAATTTACTTTATAAATTACCCATCGAGGGACGCACAGAACCGAAGACAGATACAGTAGTTTACTGATTCCTAAGACATTGACCAAAAGAGATTTGCCAACGAGCGAGAGAGAGCGTGATTTGGAGAGATTGAGATGTTTTTCCAACTTCTCAAGTTACGGTTGCCAACCATCCCCTTCAGTATCATTGCCGAAAACAACAACTAAAATTTTCATTTTGGTCAACCACTTGGGGCCATATGGTTGATCGCTCCGTGTACGCCACGCACCCAACCACATGGTCTCCGTTTTGGCAACATTTAGGCGCGCTCCAGAACCGCGTTCATAAACGGTTAATGGTATCAAATAGAGATGTCAACGAACGAATAGATTTAACAATACAGGTCGTATCATTAGCATATACCCCAACTTTATATCTTATTCCACGTGCGCCGGGTAAGAGAAAGCCTTCTGTAGCGGGACTGTTTCGGATTTTATAGGCGAGAGTTTCAACGCATAAAATACACAACAAAGGGGACAGGGAATCCCCCTGTCTCACTCCGTGAGACAAAGGTATCGCCTCAGTTAACCCTTCATTAACGATAACGCGCATGTTAGCACCATTATAGTGTGCTAACCCAGTGGCAGAATGATGAACCAAAACGAAAACGGTTTAAAAGATTCAACAAAAAGGTACTAAAACTCGGTCGAAGGCTTTCTCTTGATCGAGGTTGAGTAGAATGCCAGTTTCGTTAGTGCGCTCAATATAGTCTAAAATATCCCGCAATAGGTGTTGGTTTGAGGTAATTTTCCGACCGGGCACAGAACAGGTTAGATCAGAGAGACGGAGAGAAAGAGACTTAAAACATATCTTATAATCGACATTTAGTAAGGAAATTGGTCTCCAATTTTTAAGATCTTTGCGATCCCCTTTCTTGAAAATGACTCGAGTATTACTAGTTTTCATAGACTCGCATATCTCTCCAGCTTGAGAGCATGTATTGAATACCTGGCACAGAAATGGCTCTAAACGGTCCCAGAACTTTGAGTAAAACTCAACCAAAAGGCCATCAGGACTGGGAACTTTGTTTGTGTTAATTTTATTCAGAGCATATGATGCACGATCCTCGCAGTAGATAGCGCTATTTAAGCAATAGCGAAAATCAGACCTGAAAAAAATCAGGCCTGTACGGGACTCGAACCACTGACCTCTGCGTTACTAGTGCAGCGCTCTGCCAATTGAGCTAACAAGCCAACTGGGAGCAGGCCGTTAAGTTGATTCGTAATAAACCCGTCAAAGTGATAAATGAGATACAATGATCAGTGGTTCGAGTCCCGT